GCTCCTTTGTTCCCAAGCTGAGACACAACTGTCTTGCCTGCTGTGCCTGGCACAAAGCTCCACCTTCCCTGTTGTCAGCTTGCCAAAACCCATTCAGGAAATCCACCTGCGACGCTGGATGTGCGTGCTTGAAGTTGCAGGAACACATGTCCTGCATGGATTGCATCCCCAGAGGCAGTTGTGCTTTCTCAATGTGGAAATCAGAGGAAGAAAATCCTCACTTCATTTTGAAATCTCAAGTTGTGTAGAATTCTGTTGTATAGAATTCATGTTGTGCAGAATTTTCCCGTTTCTGCATTTCTGCTCCATATTTTCTGATGATACCAAGTCCCCATGCCAGCTCTCTCCTTGGCATGTGCAGCCACCCTCTTTACAGTCTTATTCCAGTCTCTGAAGGTCTACATGACCTTGGGTCTTACACTCAACCCATATTTTTTAGAAGCAACCTTTGTGTGAATAAACTCACGCCGCATGTCAGTTCATAGCCGATGGCACCTTTGGAGCCATTGTTTTTTGCTACCAAAATATGTCAGAGAGAAGAGGAAATAGGTGTGCAAGAAAATAGAACCTGAGTGTATCTAGGTGAGAGTGCACTTCTGAACCATGTGGTAGCTTGTGGGTGGGTAAAGGAGACACTTTTGACATAGGTCCCCCTCGGCAGCTGGAGGAATCAGAGGAGGAAATGCTGGCTCTTGGCTTTCAGGAGGGGCTGTGTGCAACAGGAGCACAGGTGCAAAGGGCCATCTCAGCAGGAGCAGTGCAGACAGAGTCCTGTACATGTTACATTGCAGTGGCAGTAGTTAAGGAGCCTGTTAAAGTCCAGATGTTGCAGTTTTACAAGCCCAGTTCATCCAGCTGCAGGTCCATCCCCAAGAGGGACATTTGGGAATGCCTATTGCTCCCTCACATCATCTGCATTGTCTGCTCCTTGCTGAGATGGAGAGAAGAACCTGCTTTTCTTCCATGTTTGTGGTTATTGGAGAGATTTTTACATGTATATCTGAACTATAAAGCCTTGAATAATGTACTGGTTTCCAGAGTTAAGAGGAAGATTTATGATATTTCCTTCTGGCAGGTGGCTGCTGATTTTGATTCCCCTGAAGAAACAGTTGTGCTAACAGCTCCCTTCTCAGAGCAGCTACTCCAGGTTCATGTTGTTCTGTGCTAAACAGACCAGTGCTGTTGTGGTTTGCAATATAGAGAGGTCTGTCCCCTGATCATCTGGTTACTGTGGGGTAGCAAACAGGCTGTCACCCTTCAAACCTCCAACCAGAGTCACATCCCACCCAGCCCAGCAGAGCTGGGTGTGCAGTAACACTGGGCAAAGAGTGATTTCCTTTGCTTTTCTAGAAAAGGTCCCCATAGCCCTTAAATCAGACTAAGCTGGCAACAGAGCTTAGTGAAAGCTGAACTCTCTCCTTTTGCAAGTATTTGAGATCTGAATAAAACATAACAGAGACCTGAATCTGGTAGTTTAGTGAGCCAGACAGACTTTTCTCATGATTTAGAAGAAACCAATATAGGGCTATGTACAGAGTACCTGAGAGATGGTGTGATGAGCTGCTGATCTGTGCTCAGGGAAACTGAGGTTTAGGAGGGAATGTTTACATCTCTAGTGAAGCACTGCACTTGTGTGGCCCAGCACAGAGGGGAAAGGGAGAATGAAGCATAATGGTGGTCCCCAAAGTGTCCTCTATGCATTGACTGGGGTGGATGGGGATTCTCACAGATCCAGCTTTTCCTTTGATCCCGTGTATTCAGTTTAACTCTAAATGTTGATACTTTTTTTCTTTCTTTTTTTCTTTGCTTTTTGGCCCTTCTCTTTAAAAGCAAGAGCACACTGAAGCAGTGATGTCAGTAGTGTTGGGCACAGAGCAGTCAGGGCTGGATTTGAATGTGCTCTGGTCTCTGTCACCCATTCCCACTCATGGACTGTCCCTGTGGATCAGTGACACTTGTTTATGCTCCTCTCAGCTTTGTATTTTATTCCTAGATGGGCTGGGGTGGCTTTTGGCTTCAAATAAACTTAGAATTTTAGGGAATGCATCAGCAGAGTGAAGGTTATTGCAATACATGGAGTGTGCTGTGAATAGCTAATCTGTGCTGGCACCTGCAGCAGGAATGTCCAGGAGCTTGCCTTTTAAGGTTGAGACTTTCATAAATTTAAAAAAAATAAATTAAAAATGGGTGGAGGAAATCCTAGCTATGAACAGTGAAGAGCAGGACTTGAATGCCCTTGCAGCTTTGAACTGCTGGAAATTTCATATTCCTTCTTCAGAAATACAGTTTTTAGAGCTGGAACCACAGGCATGCTCTGCATTGATCCAGAATGGTGTGGAACACCAGAGCCTGCAGCGTTCACTCAGCAGAGCATCCCCCCCATGTCCTCCCCCTCAGTTCCTGCCCACCCCTGTGCATCCCCCTGCCCTGCTCTGATCCCCTGCTCCTCCTGTTCCTGCCTCGGGCACTTCCCTCTCTGCCAGCAAGTGCACCAGGCAGGGTGCAGGCTGGCTTTTGAAAAGAAATCCTGTGAATTAATGGGAACATATTGCTATTATTTCATATAATCACTTTATTTGTAAAGCACAGGCTGCAGAGGTACTCCCGCTGTTGAACCCAAAGCAGCAAATCTATCTATATATCCCAGTCTATACTACATTATGAACAGATGGGTGAAGAAAAAAAGCAATAAAAACAAATAATAAGAAAAGTTACAATGATAGCAATTTTAAAACACTCCTAGGGGGGAAAAAAAAAAGTTTCTCCATTTTTTTTTAAAGCAATGTGAGATTGAATGAGCTGCACTGCAAGTGCATCCATCCTCTAAGTTCACATGTAAACATCTACTGGCAGAGGAAGAATTGCTTTTTTTCCAAGTGGCTGCCTTCTCGCCCTGTGCCTGTTACAGAAGCAATCATAAGAAACCTGGGTGAGATGTCTGGGGTTTGGAAGCATTTGGGGGTTTTCTTTGATTTTTTAGAGTTCCTGGGGAGACAGAGGCCGTGGGGGTGAGAGGGAGGATGGTGCCTCCCTTGACAGCTGAGAAAACTCAATGGGAAATAGCAGTCTTCTCAGAAGCACGTATTTACCCACATAACTTTCTCTGAATATTATTCTTCTGCCTCTGCTGCAGGAGGAAACTTAGTTTATGAAGAATAGTAGAGAGAAACTACCATTAATCTCATAAAAAAAAGAGAAGATATTCAAATGTAGCCTTCACCCGTGACACCAGCGAGCTCAAAGGAGAGGAAATTTAAAACATTTATGTTGCTCTGTTTTTGAGGTCATAAAACACAAGCAAATGGTCTGGCACTGGATGCTAAATTTCTTAAGGAATTTACGTTAATTAATTAAACTAGTAAACCAATTAATGGATTTGCTTGTAAATTCTTAGAAAATTAATTCTGTGCCCAAAGAGTGTTTTAAATCTGCGAGGAAGGCTGTGTATTTCATACAGAGCTTGAATTCCCATTTCAGATGAATCCAACTCGGCACTGAGAGAGCTGGAGATACAAGTGATGCATTCATAATACTCGGACCTTCCTCCACAACTGGCACTTCTCACCAGCTGAATCTGGGGGGGATTTGCAAAATAAAACCTGTGCTGCTGCCACAGCACCCAGCTCCTGTGCTTCTGCTCTGCTGTGACACCTCTGGCTTTATGTGGGCTGGGAATTTACATCATTCCTGATGCCTCCAACTGGCTCCTTCATCTGCCATCTCTTCCCTCTTTGATCTGCTCCAGGGGTACCTCAGGTGCACAGGAGGTACCAGGTAGCTCTGGTAAGCAGCAGATCAAAGCGTAGGATTTGCTGAAAAACCGCCCAGCCAAATCAAAGATCTAAACAAAAGCTAATTCACTTTTCCATATGAAAACCTTGCTGTGATTCCCTGCCTGGCTCAGGGATGGCAGGGGCATCCTCTGTACCTTGCACTCCTCACAATCCAAAGTGACCCAAACATGGAGAGTTCATAATCAAATGTGTCCAGCTCTTGAGAACATGAAATTGGAAGGAAGCAGGTTCCTTGGGGCTCTCAGCAGCTAGAGCCACGTTTTCTCCTCCCGTGGCAATCTTCCACTTTGGGTCTTGGCATCCTTTGATTGAGGAAGGGGCTGCCAGCCATGCCTGGCACCACCCATGTTGTCCCACCTCACCTCCAAGAGGAAGCAGAGCTGCAAAGCAATTAGGAATGGGAGTATTTTGAAAGGAAAATGGCAGGGGAAAATAATTAGCATTTGCACTGTGATATTTTTGCTGTTTATTAATAAACAAGCTGCTTTTGTGCCTCCGGGGGCAGGAGAGGCTTCAAGCATTCCTTATTTCTCTTGCATTTAGCTTTTTTTTCTTGTTTTATGTGTTACAGGAGATTTGTAGTGTCTTCCCACATGTTGAGTTTCCTTATTTTCTTGAGAGCATCACTGGAATAATTCCTCTGGAGGCTTTGGCTGTGTGCTGCCAGGCTGATTTAAACACTTTAGGGATGCAGGATGGATCAGTACTCCTTGGGAAGGAGTTATGCTAATCAGGAACAGGTCTGCTCTCTCCTACAGAAGTGGCATGACTTCAGGGATAAATGTTTTCATGGAGAGAAAAGCCCTGTGCAGAGCTCCTGCCATCCTGGGTGGTGTTGGTGACAGTGATCCTGATGTGGCCACCTCTGTTCTGTGCTGGTAGCACAGGCTCTTTCCAGGATGGTCAAACATCTCCCCAGTGCCACATTTGTCACCAGGGAAGGCTCACAGGGATCCTGCATGGGGACATTGGGCTGCAGGACTCAGGAATGCTGTGTGCCAAACAGATGGCATGTCCTCGGTGACAGCAGATCCGTGCCAAAGGAGGCTTCAGGGTGGCACTGCTCCTGCATCAGGGAGGTGAATTAAAACCCTCTGGTATTAATGGGCTTGTTCTTCTTTCCCTTTAGGCCTCCAGCTCCTCTGATGGAAAAATGCAGCATTAAGACCCTCTGGTATTAATGGACTTGTTGTTCTTTCCCTTTAGGCCTCCAGCTCTTCTGGTGGAAAAATGCAACTTCTGGAAACAGAGTTCTCGCGAACCATCCGGGAGCTCATCGAGCTGCACCTGCTGCGCCAGGACAGCATCCCAGCCTTCCTCAGCGCCCTCACCCTCGACCTCTTCAGCCGCCAGACCATCGCTTAGTGCCCCCTGCCAGCTGCCAGCCAGGCTTTGGCCCTCCTGGGCAGGACACTTGAGGTAGCAAGGAAAAATCCTCCTGTTCACCGCCCTTAATTTGTGGTGTTGGGTTGCTTCTGTTTTACAAGGAACTCCTTCTTCCCCCTTCTTTCATGCTGAGTGACAAATCCCACCAATTCCTCTGAAAAGCATCATTTTCATCCTGTGAGAGGGGAAGTCTAGCTCCATCCCAGGGCTCTCCTGTGACAGGATCCAATCCCTGCCTTTGAACTGGGCCATGTGTTCATCACTACCCAGATTCTCAGCATCTGTCTGGGAATACGGTGGGAACTGCTGATTTGAGGAGCCCCAGCATCACCATTCACAGCTTTTCCCAAAAGGATTCCCTAAATCTGAGCCCTAACAAAGAGACAAATCTGCATCAGGCTGGTGCTTCCTGCTGCATGGTTGTCCTCTTCTAATGGCAGCCAAGGGCTTGGTCCCTGAGGACAGAGACCCAGGAAAAGTCTCTTGCTCTTGCAAACATCTCATCACTCAGCAAGTTTGAAATTATTTTTAAGATATCAGTGACCTGAGTCTGCCATCACTCAGGAAGCACAAGCATTAATGGCCATTTGAAGCCCCTATACCTGTGTTGACACCTCTGTGGCTCAGTCACTGCCATGCTTTTGGTTCCTTACTGAGACTTTAGGTTATCTTGGTTATCTCAGGACTGTAGAATAGTGGAAAGGAGCAGTTTGGGCTCCATTGTGTTCAATGCTGGTGGCTTTAGCCTGCTGCCTGCCACCACCCTGTGGGTATGTGTTTTGGGAGGTCTCCTTCCTCCTCCCCTCCATGGAGGTGGAGTGTCCCCAGATGCCTGACATTTTGTATTATAATGGATGTAGCTCTTCTGTCATAACAATAAATTGTCACTGCCCAAACTGGGTGTATGACTCTTATTTGGGATGCACTCTGTGCCTAGCTCTGCTCTCCCACATGTAGAGGAAGAGCACATCAATGGTCTGATGTGCTTCACAAAGGGAGGACATCATTATCTCTGTTTTTCCAGGCAAGTCTCATTCATAGATTTATAGAATCATCAATGGTTTGAATTGGTAGGGATGTTAGAGATCGTTTACTCCCAACCCTGGCTGCCTTAAACCAAATCAGTTTGCTATAAACCTCTGTGTATATTGATTTCCCCCTGATTTCAGCAGGAACACACTCCCTAGGCTTGGAGAAAAGGTAGCAGTGAGCAGGCTAGGAAGTTAGCTGAGATACTTGCAGTGACTGCAGGGCTGGCCAGGCTTGCTGGAGTCACTTGGACACCTGTTGCTGTGTCTCCAGGCATGGAAAACATCTGCTGTTGACCCCATCTGCTGTTGACCAGAGGTGGAGGGACAAACATGAGACCTGGGGAGGCTGCAGCCCTCATCTCCCCAGCTCACCTCTCTGCAGGGAAGCGCGGTAGCAAAAGTTTGTCATTTTCTCTTCTGCTTGAAGAAGTCCCGGTGGAAGATGAATTGCTGGGCATGCTGTGCCAGGGGAAGGCTGCCTGATTCATATGCACGGCGTGGCACGGAGAGTCGCCTTCCCCAGTCATGGGGAAAATGAATCCTGACGTCAGCCGCATTCAGCCCCGCCGCCAACACAATAGCGGATCCTGGCTGCCGCGGAAAATTTTTCTCCTGGCTCCTTGCAGGAGAAATGAAGTAATTAATAAGTTTACAATAAACCCTCTATCTTAGCAAAACACAGGTGAGGCGAGAAGCGATGCTGGAGAGCGACAAGGGAAAACACGTTCTGCCCGCTGGAAAGTTGCCTCCCGAGAGTGAGAGGATAATAAGTTGGGAGAGAACACACAGTAGGCTTCCGAGACGCCTCCGGTGGGGAGGAGACATGAATTACTGCTCTGCTCCCTCTTCTCCCAGCAACACTGATTTGTTCAACTAAGTTTGATATGGGAGAGGTGTGTGGTGAGGATGGGTGCTTGGCCGGGTTGTGCTGGTGTGGTGCAGCAGCTGTCTGTGGTTTGGGAGCTGCTGGACTGTCCTGCTTTGGTCAGCAGCATCCCTGCCCTGCTCATGGCATTGTGCTGCTGCACAGTGAGTTCACAGGGCTCACATGAAACAGGGATTTTTGGGAAGCTTGATATCTCTAAGGCTCACAAATGGAAGCGTGGGAGTTTTTCATGTGGAGGTGTGACCATTGCAAAGCCACTTGGGCCACCTGTGGGCCATGGAGAAGAGGAGCTGAGACTTCCCAGTTTTTAGTTCCAACACTGAATTCAGGATGAAGCCACAAACCTTTGGCTGTACCTGATACCACGGGAGCTCCCATCTCTGTCATTATCCTGCTTGTCTGAGCCATGAGGGAGCTGCAAGGAATAACTGTGACACTGAATTTTGCTGTGATTGCTCCTTCTTTTACGAGCTACATGGGCTCAGCAGCCCATCAAAGGTGCTGCCACTGTGTTCACCACCCCTTGCATCCCCCCTCCGTGAGTGCAGCCCCCTGGGGCAGTGCAAAGAGATCCCAGTTGCCACCACCCCAGGTGGTGAGGGCACAAATCCCATCTGGGTTTGGCTCATCACTTGCAAAGCTCCAGCCCTGTTTGTGGAAAATCCTTTTAGAAAATCTTGGGAGCTGGGTAATAAATTTTCAGTTGGTTGGAGGGGAGAGGCGGGAGCGCTCACAAGCGCGTGTGTGCTCACTGGGTTTCCATGCACACTAGCTGGGTTTATGTGCTGTAGGCTGTGAAATATGATTTATTGGTGCATGGCTGCAGGATTCTGTGTGTGTGTATGTGTGTGTCAGAACACAGTCTTGTTTGCAGTGTTGCCTGAAGCTTCCCTTCACTCAAACTGCTTGTGAGTCCCTGCTCTGCTGCCAATCAGCCCTGTGCATCTGTGTGCATAGACAAACACCAAACGGGCACAGAGCTGTCGGGTAAAGCAGCAGAGCTCTGGGCTAAGGCAGGTTTTGCCAGATTTGTGCCTCTCCTAAGGGCACATCTCTGAATCTGGAGGTTTTTGCACCTGCTTTGTGTCTCCTGGCTCTTGGTGTCGTCATGTGTGGTTCGCATTGTCCTGGAAGTGTGTGATGCCTGAGCAGGAACCAGGGAAACCCTTTTGGGATGAGCCATCAGAAGTTTGGAGTTTGTGGATGTTAGTTTGGATCTTCTCCATGTAACACTACAGGAGCAAGGGAAGGAGAAGGGGGAAGAGCATTGGAGCCAGATGGAGGTGGGTACCTAGAGAGTGAAGGGCAAGAGCAGAGCAGGGGATGGATGGAAGAAATGGGGCATGGATAGAAGGAGAAGCCACCCCCATTTCTGAACAGCTGCAGTGCCAGCCATGCTGCTGGTTCTCCATTGCTCCCCTCTGCTCACTCAAACAAACACCAAGCCGCCCCTGCCCTTTCCATTTCCCAGCCCAGCAGTGGGCTCAGAGGCAGCTGAGAGTGGTGTGAGCTGGGCTGATGGGCAGATGTGTCAAAATAAACCCCAGGGGGCAACAGGCAAGAGCCTTCCCCAGACATCGCCGAGCTGATGCCAGAGCCCTGCTGCTCGGGGTGTGAGAGGGCACAGCCAGGGCAGGATTGGCTCTGTGTGAGCTTTTAGCTGTTCAGAGACACTGGGAAAACAATGGTGGTGTCTGCTGCCAGGTGTCTGTAGCTAAGGACAGGAGCTGGGGAGGACGGAACAGGCTCTCTGTGCTGGTGTGAATCACATTCCTGCTGCCTGCTGTGACAGCAGATTCAGATTTAATAGCAGCGTTGCTAAAACTTGCATGATATTTAAAAGCTACAAAATGCACCCACTCTGATCAGGGGAGGGATATTAAATAAATAAATAAATAAAAAATCAGCAAAGCTTTTTCACGAAGTCTTTTTTAAATATTAAAATCCCATCCTTCCCAACAGGAAAGCTTTTTTCAGGCTAAGAGGAAAGACTGAACGGCATCTGATGATATCGCATTGACACAAGTGTCTAGAAAAATAGGGTAGGAATGTATGATCTGTTCTGAAAAAGGAACCATAGCTAATAGGAAATATGCTGATGCTACTTTTAATTTCATGACTCAGGTTTGCTGCAGAATTGATGGAAATCTGTGTTGGAGCTTGGTTACATTAAAACAGTTCTTGGCTGCTTGGGGGTTTTCCAGTTCTTGTTTCTCTTTTGGGGGATTGTTATTGTAAAATCTTTTGCTACTCTGGGGTTTGCAGATGTTATTTGAAAGGACAGGGGGACGGTCTTTTATCCAAAAGAAAGAGGAGATTTCTGCTCCAGAAAGATCACTGGCCAAAGCCCAGCCCTGGACAGGCCATCCCAGCAGCCCCTCCTGTTCCTTCCACCCACAGTGTCTGTGTCTCCAGCCTTCCTTCTGTGCGTGTTCTCCCTCAGAGCAAGAACAAGGAACAAAACAGAAGAAAAATACACTTAAAAGAAAATGCTGGCATGTAATTTAAGGAGCATAAAGGCAACTTCTTGCTGCTGGAGGTCTCGGAAGCAGTACATGTCTTTGGTCTCCACCCAAACCACATTCCTCCACCAAAGCACATTGCCTTAGGTTGTGTCAGTTTTCTTCTGCTTCCCCAACGTGGGCTCAAGCCTCTACCAGCCCCTTCACCTTCCCTCTGCTGTTTCCTGGCCCAGGCTCCAGTGCTGATGAGTTTATTAGGGTTGCTAATTTTACCTGATGCTGCTTCCTTCTCTTCATGACAGGTTATGTTTTTTTGAACTCTCCAGCTGATTGATTGAGTTCTCTTTAATATTCCATGTTTCACTTTGAATTCTCTTTGTTGACTGTTGCTTGTTGTTGTTCTGTTTTTGTTTTTTTTTCTTTAATCCTCCCACTGTCTCTTTTTCCTTCCTGGTCCTTCTAATGCTTGTTCAGCCTGGAGCAAAGCCAGAGACCATCAGGAGGTCATTGAAACACAGACGTCTGTAGGATTTAAATAAGGACTGGATAATTTTATGACCATTAACAAGGCTCACTGCTATGCAAACCAAAGTAATAAGGGCAATCATATCTCATGGTTCGGGGAGCAAGTTGATTGCCTGCAGGGACTGAGAAGGTAATTCTGCATCCCTGGCTCCCCCCAAAATATGATACACTTGACAAGATGCACCAGGCAGGTCAAAGGGCTTGGCTGGAGGGTGAGAGCATTTCCCTTATCATCTCTGTTCTCTCACTCCATTGATGTGATCAGAAACTTCTGGAATCAGCGTGGTGGGAAATGTTCTCCAGGCAGATGAAAGGCTCTGAAGGTTGGCAGATGAACCTTTCCTCTTAAGGAGCATCTGCTGAGTGACATTGGTGCTGTATGATGGCAGATACTTCACTTTGCTGGTAGTGACTCCTTCATCTGCCAGGCTGCCCCATAACCACTGCCCAGGAGTGGCCTTCCCAAAAGAAACACAGACCATGGATGTCACTTGGGTCCTTCATTTTGGAGGTGCCTCCCACTCCCCACTGACCATGCACAGCCTTGTTCACAATGGGGTGATGGCAAATCACACTGTCCCTCCTTCACCTTTCTCTGCAGCATGGCTCTCCTGGCTGCTCTGTGTGCCTGTGCCTTTCCCCAGCTCCTTTTGGGCTCTCCTGGCTCCTCTGTGTGCCTGTGCCTTTCCCCAGCTCCTTTTGGGCTCTCCTGTCTGCTCTCCATGTGCCTGTGCCTTTCCCCAGCTCCTTTTGGGCTCTCCTGTCTGCTCTCCCTGTGCCTGTGCCTTTCCTCAGCTCCTTTTGGGCTCTCCTGGCTCCTCCATGTGCCTGTGCCTTTCCCCAGCTCCTTTTGGGCTCTCCTGGCTGCTCTCCATGTGCCTGTGCCTTTCCCAGCTCCTTTTGGGAGTCACACTGCAGCCCCTGGGTGTGTGTGTGGTGGCTCCTGCTCCGATGCCGCTGTTGCGAGGCAGAGCCCCCGTG